CCTGGAAGAAGCAGGAGATGCAGGTTTCTAGGGTGAAGCACTGGGAGGGGTGTGTGTTGTCCTGCTCTGCAGTTAGCCGATGTGAAAGGGAGCAGCTCTGATCAGTTACCAGCTTCAAGCATCCTGATGAGTGGTCAGGGCAGGGAGACAAATGGTCTCGATGACCTGGGTTGTCAAACATCTCTGACACCGAAGAAGCCCCTTCACCATCTCCTGGTGACACAGCAGCGTTTCCCAATGGGAAAACAGCTGATCCAAGGGACCACATACCCTGAACAAGGAAGGTACGAAGCCTACCCAAAGCAAGAGCCTGCCTGTAGCTTTTCCTAGTGCCCGACTGGCTGTTAAATCCTTCCCGTGGCTAGAAGATGTAATGGGAGGGATACATCCCAGCGATGACATTTGGCCCTAAAGGGCTAGTAATTAGGGCTTTAATTAATCCCTTTGTAGACTAGTGAAGGCCCAACTTTTTGTGTTGGTCTTGCGACTCTCCCACTGAGAGAGAAGCATCTAGAGAGACTTGTGGCTACCATCACAACGCTGTGGTTGCAAGGGGGGCGGGAGGATGGTCCCAGGTGGGTTCACGCTGTTGTTTTGAAGAAGGCAGCATTCTAAACCTGCGTCCAGTTTCATGTCCTATTCTGCCAGCTATTCACAAGAAGCTCTTAGGTAATTGTACTGCTTTGCTGTGCCTTGGTTTCCCTTATGCATAGAGCAGGGGTGACACCGAAGCTGACCTTGGCCCTGGTATATACCCACAGGGCATCAGGCGAAAAGCACTGCAGAAGTGCTGCCTGGCTCCTGTATCCCCTTCCATTCCAGTTAGAACAAGCATGGTGGGGGGGAAGGAGGCTGTTGGGGTCCTTGTGTTCCCCTGTACCTCCGGGTGAAAAGCCTTCACAATGTGCCTTTTTGCCTAAAACACAGACATTTTTGATGAAAAGATTTGGTCACAATTATTTTTGTATTGATCACTTAACGGGGGAGAAGGGAAAGGTATTTTAATATTGCAACATGAAGTAAAATACACTTGAAATGATTTTTTTTTAAAACAAATTATTTATCGTTTGTAAGGTTAAATAAACTGATTTTTTTTTTTTAATAGGATCCCTGTAGTAAAAGTTTCTCTGTGCATTGTAATCTGTGTGGGCTCCAGTTGCTTGGGCTCTTGGTCAAGAGTAGTTCCCTTATGGGTCAGTCTCAAGCCTCATGGATTGGGGGGAGCCTCCTGCTGGGTCAGCCCCACAGAAGGGAGACAGCTTTGACTCACCTCAAGCAACTGATGCAGCTTTGAGCCCAAACTCTGGTAAGTAAAAGACCAGCAGTAGAAGCAGGTCCTCGGGTCACCCATTGTGGTGCCTGCTCTTCTCTCCAAGTGATGTGGGAGGGGGTCCCATGAGGGGCTATGATGCAGAGGTGGCTGGAGGCTTGCCTGGGTCCTGCAGGCTCCATAAAGTATTCTCTGTCTATTCCTCTGCAGCTATAGCTGAGGGGAGATGAGGGCGGCAGTTCTGGGCCAGTGAAACGTGGAGTGCTGATTCCCCCTAGTGTGGTGAATGCAGAGATGGACAAGCCCTGCTGCAACCTCAGCCCTTCTCTGCTTGAGCCACCAAGGCAGCCGATCCCCTTACTGTGATTTCTGGGGAAGCTGAAGTAGCTTCTTTATCACTTTCACGGCCAGCATTTACAGGGTATGTTCTCTGCTGCCTCTGTCCTGCTGCAGCGGGACATCATGGGACTTTGTCCCTGCTTTCTGGAGTTAAATCCAGCTGTGGGGGCAGATGGGCTGCAGTCGGAATGGGAGAGGATTGCAGGGTGGCTGTGCGCCTTTCCCCTGGGAGCCCTGTGGAGCCCATTTCCGCTGTTGCCTCCTGTGCAGGGCTGCTGGGAGGGGATACGAGCTCCCTCTGGGAGCATTGGGTCATATCCTGGCGAGCTTGGATATGCTTATTTTATAGCAGTAAGGCTCTGGGGAGCCTGGACTGTAGAAACACCTCAGTCCTTCCTTAGTTATTTTAGCAGCACCGAGCTGAAGTATTCCAGCACACCCTGGTCAAGCAGCATGGTGCACAGCAGAACCAGACCATCACCTCAGCTCTGTGGGGTGATGGAGGAGCCTTTTATGAGCTCGACCCATATTCAGCAGTGCAGGTTGCAGGGTGTTTCGAGCTTTTTCGTGCAGCAGAAGCCAATGCTGTGTCGTGGGGGCTCTGGGAGTAGCCGGTAAGTGAAGGACATGAGCTCCAACTAACGATGGGCAGTGCTGAGAGTCGATGGGGAGCGCTGCCTGGGATAGGGAGCCCGGGGGTGCAGTTTTCCCGTCCGCCACAAGTGGGCGCTGGCGGAGCGCGGCGCTGCGGTGCGCGCTGCCGGCGGAGCCTTACCCGGGCCAGGGCGGGCAGAGCCGGGTCCGCAGCGCCCCGGTGCAGGGGTGCGTGTGGTCCATGCCCCGAGTCACAGCGCTGCAAGGTCTCCCTATCTCCCCTGCTTTGCTGTAAGAGAACCGCGCTGCACTGCGTGTGCCCTTACAAAGAGAAATCCCCCTTTTGGATGCGCTTAAATAACACCCTGGAAAAGCAGCTGTTGCGAGCAGAGACAGGAGATCTTCCTGGCACGGAGAGAAGGCGCAGTTGGCCGGGAGAGCTGGTATAAATCCTTGCTGCTAGGGAGAAAGTGGGGGATTTTGTAACGTCTTTCTGCAGTTCACGTTTCCAGGGCCTGTCCAAAGGCCATACCCCATAAATCAAGTGCTGTCTGCAGAGCTTATCTTCCTCCAGGAGGGGAATAAACACTGGCAGCAGGAGAGCAGGAGCATACAGACGGTGAGGATGAGAGGGTAGATGAGTCATTGATGGCCATGGCAAAGTAAAAGAAGCAGTGCATCCGCTGGCATCTGGGAGTGACCATCTCAGGGAAAAGCAAATCTGCCTTTGCCTGGAGAAGGTGGTCCTATTTCCACAGCAGAAATGAGGATGTTGTGATCCATCCTCTGTTTGTTTTTTTTTTCTCTGGGTAGCAGAGGTGTTTTGAGTAGCTTGATAAGGATGATGAATTCTCTCTTGCCTGCATAGCATGTCACTGAAGCCAAGAGTACGCAGGTGAAGGGCTTTTCTCCCGCAGCTTTTGTGGTGAAAAGCGATTAAATACTGATTGTTTCACTGACCATAAGGTAAAAGTGAGCAGAACCAGATCGCAGCAGCTACAGCGAGGGGACGGAAGGTTCCGCTCGTACCTGGCTGCCCCCCGCGGGGCCAGGAGAGGGCACTGCGGCCCTGGCAGAGCATCCCCACCCGGAGGGTACCCGGACTCCTGTCCGGCTTAAAGTGCCACCGGGCAGCACCAGACATCCTGGGGCTCCGGGACAGGCTGCTCCGCTCGGGAGCAAGGGAAAAACACTATGGAGCAGAGAGAAAAGATGGGAGTAAAGTGTAACTCCCCTTCGGTGTACAAAAGGTGCTCTGATGCAGGGGGGAAGGAGAGAGCTCTCGTGGTCGCCAGCCTTTCCAAAGCCTTTCTCTTGTGCCCTAGAAGCCCTTCAAGCTGGCTGGAAGCCACCAGCAAATCCGTGGTTGACGCAGTGAAGACACTTGATCGCGTCAGCCTTGGAGATGGGGAAAACCCAGACGTGGGGGGCATGCTGAAAACACTAGAAAATAGGCCCAGGAAGGCCCCGAGGATCAGGGCCTGAATGGCTGGGGCTCCACCACAGGCTGGGGATTGGTGGCAGGAGTCCAGCCCTTCCGGCAGCTTATAACAAACCACCCCGTGTCACCTTTGTGCTTCCTGGAGCAGCACTGAAGCAGCCCTGCGCCCTGTCCTGCAAATGTTAGCCTGACCTGAGAACTTCCCTTCCTCCCTGCTTTCCTTCACCTCCCCTCCACCTTTTCCTCGTTAGAGCTCTGTTTAACACAGCCACCCTTTCCACACGGCACATTGCCCTCTCCTGAGGATGTCCTGTCTGACCAGGCAAGCCGAGGGCAGGCACTCCAGCCCCATAACTGGGTCACACTGGGTTGGAGGTGAGGCTGGAGAGCCTGCCCGCCCACCCACCCACCCATCTCTTCGGAGAAACCTGTCTTTCCAGGGAGGGAGAGCAGTATGTGGGAAAGCCGAGAGCCCTGGAACGTGAATTAGCCGGGGAGAGATGAATGTGTGATAGCTTGTACCTGGCAGCTACCGATGGAGCGTGTTAACGCTTTCAGCAGCGCCGGAGCTCAGGTGTTTAATGCAGGCGTCCTGCTACCCCTGGGAAGATTTGGGAGCATCAAGGTAGCGCACAGCAGGGACGGTGCCTGGGTTAGGCAGGGTGACTGCTGGTCACCATCCCAGCACTGAGCATAGGATGTGGGTCTGGCCCCTGGTGGCTTTCTCCAGAAGAAGCCAACGTTAGGGGATTTTCCCCCCTGGCTTCCCTGGAAGTCTCTTAAATACTGCAGCTTAAACAGCATGGAGCAGGAGGAGAAGGAAGAGGCTGCTACTCTCCTATACTCTAAGGATACTGATGTACCACACGGAGCACAAAGCAGGAAAGGGGAGTCTCCATGTGCTGATCCTAACCCTGCCACGTGTCTTTAGCCAAGTCAGGTTACCTGCCTGCTCTCACCTTTCCTCTTCGTGCTGCTTGTTTCACACAGCATCATTCAGGTTCAGCCCAGACTTAGGGGATGCAAAGACTCAGCCACACAGGTTCACTGTGAGCAGACCCTGGGGTTTATCAGTGGCCACATTCTGCTTACTGGGGGGGGGGACGGGGACTGTTCCCACAGCGTGCACACCTTCCCTTGCGGGTGCTGCCCATCCTGGCCGGATGCCTCGGCCTCTCTTACCCATGCATTGCAAAGGGCAGAGCTCAAAGCTTATCCACGAGGGCACAGCTGGGACGCAGCCCCTCGCTCGCAGCCCAGCAGGCAGGTGCTGCGGGGTGTATCTGTGCAGCTGAGGGCGGGCAAAACCACCTTCCTTCCTCCCTCCCCTCCTTCCCACCCCACCCCACGCCCTGGTAGCGCTGCAGGGACTCATCTATTCCCGAGTTACTAATATGCAAATGGGAGCTTTTGCATGGGCCAGGCGCCAGGCTGCTGGGTGTCAGGGCACCCGAGGGAGCCGGAGGTGGGGCGAGGCGTGGCGTGGAGCCGCATGCTCACCTGGCCCTGCATGGCAACAGGCAATGGAGCTCTAGGTCCCTTCGGGAGCGGACCCACGCCCGGTTTGAGAGGCAGCGGGTGGCAGAGGAGGGAGGGCAAACTGGCAGCCCCTGGCAACCTGGGGCTGACGGCAGGAGGCTGGGCGCACCGCGGATTTCCCTCCGCCAGCAGGATGGTGAACCTGGAGTCCGTGCACGCAGGTAAAGAGCACTTGAGGAAGGAGCGGGCTTGGAGCTCGCCGTGTGGCTGAGACCGTGGGCTTGGGCAGGAAATGGGGCTGCTGTGATTCCTGTGACCTCCCCTCCCTTCCTTTCCCTCCTCTTCTCTCCCGCTGGAGTGCCAGGCTAAGTGCCCGCATTCCCACCTGGGGATGGATGCTGCCCTGATCCTACTTAGGGGGCTGCCAAGCCATGCCCACGATGTGGGCGCATCGCTCACGCTGCCAGCCCTAACGTGGGTCAGGGAGCAGAGCGCAGAAGTCTCTCGGGTACCTGGAAAGTGAGCGTGTAGTGCCTGACCTGTGGGATAAAGCTGGGAGGAGTGAGAGGGTGTGTGTGTGTGAATGAGAGTGAGATAGGACATGGGTTGGAAGGGGAAAAGTTAATGACAAAGAGGGAAAAGGAGGGAGAAATGAATGAGGAGGGAGCTGTCGGAGACTGGGCTGAGTGAGGAACGAATGAACAGGGATACTCAGGAGGACAGACTCCTTCTAGGGGGTCTGATCTGGAGATACGGCTTGGGTAGCCTCACATCTCCTGTGAGCAGACCTCCCCTATACAATCAGCTGGGGAACCAGAGCAATCACTGCCAAATCCTTTGGAGACTGAGCAGAAACAGAGTGAGTGAGCTTAACTTCTGCCCCAGCTCAAGCCCCTGTGCTCGAGGGGAACGACTGCATCTCCGGGTATACCAGGGCTGAGGATGATGCTGGGGCAGAAGCAGAGCAGTGGAAGCAATGAAGGCCAGATACTGACAGCCCCTTCTGCGGCAGGGGCAGGCAGTGGGGTGTTGGGAGCCATGTACCCTGCTACTGACCTATGTCCAGTGCTTTGTGCAGCACAAAACACTGCGTGTTGTCCCCAGGTTTGGAAGGGAGAGGGTGGATACCTCCATCAGTCTCGTTCCTTTTGTGTACCTATTGGCACGCTGCAGTGAAACTCGGGTATTTGGTGGTCCTGCTGCGAAGGGGAGACCCAGGGGTCCATGCTCAATGCTTGCAGCCCCTCAACAGGCTCTGCCTGAAGGTGGGCTCGTGGACAGGCCTGCAGGGCAAGGGAGATGCTGCAGAAATGCCGTCACTTAACAATGTGTCAGCCTGCAGAGATGGCCAAAGCCCCTGCTCCATGGGTGCGTTGCAACCTCCCCCTGGCTCTGGGGTACCAGCAGCCCCTCCGAGGCGACCAGCACCCCACTGTGCAGGCAGGCTCTCTGTGCCAGCCATGGGGAAGGCAGCAGGGGAGCCCCAATGCCGGCCATGAGCAGAGGCTGCGGGAGGAGTGAGGCTCGTGGTCTTGGCTCGGCGTGTGAGCCCGACTAGTCTGAGCACCTGCGCTGGGTGTGCTTGTGTGTGCTGTCTCTCGGGGACGCATCCCCCGCAGGCTCCTATCCACCCATCTGCTTGGCTTGTGGGCGACTCTTTCTTCATGAGAAGATTCCCCAGATCGATACTGTGCCCGCTGTCAAAGCCAGTGGCATCACTCCCAGGGTGGATTTGGCCGGGAGCTGCGCAGAGCCGGGTGCGTGCTGATCTTCCATTCTCCCACATCATCCCACCCTGCTGCCTTCCAGACGGGCATCAGTTTTAAGCGGTGTTTTTGCATGGAGGGACACCAGGTTGGGCCCAAATTCATGTGCCAGACCCTAGCACTGATGGTGTGTGTGTGTGTGTGTGTGTGTTTCTTCACCCTTCTGCAAAGGCAACTGCCATGCTCAGTCCTGGAGTCCCTAAGCAGCAAGAGCTTGCAGAGGTGCTGCTTCTTCCCTGCCTGTGAAGACACAATGTGCATGGTGAAGGTGGGCTGCTTGGGCGTTGCATGCCCTGCTTCCTGCTCAGAAGGTTTCCTTGCAGCAGCATTACCACCACCTCCTCCCCAGGCATTTGGGTACTTCACCTCCAGAGGGGCTTGGGCATTTAAAGCACAGAAAATTCAAATCAGCTTCAGGTCTGAAGCCAAGCTGAGCTCCCACCACCAGCAGCTTGCTTTTTCCCTTTTAAAGTCATCAGGCTGGTTTACCCTAGTGCCCGTGTCTGAACAACCACTAGGATATTCCTAGGGCTTGGGAAAGCTTTATTTGCTGACAGCGTTTGTTTCAGCAAAAATAGAGATGCAGATCCATCCCCAGAGAAGTGTCTGCACTGGTCTGGGTGAACAAACCAGACTACCCCTACTCCAGGTATGTTTGCTAGCTGAGGTAGAGCAGCACATTTTTAATATGGCCCAGGCCGCAGTGGCGGCTCCTAATAGCTCTGTGGTTAGGACTTAGGCAGGCCTAAGTTGCTTTATTTTTCCCAGAGATTTTTTTCCTAAGCCTGCTTATTCCCTGCTTGTTGCCAGCCCTGCAAAGCTGCATGGAAGGAGCCTGCATTCGGGTGGGCTCAAAGGCTCACAGCCTGTCTCTTGTCTTGAGGCAAGATGGAAGGAACAGTCAAATCCAGGTGCATCACTCTGTCCTTGTTTATAGTAGAGGACTGTATATGTTGGGTGTATATATGAGATATATATACTGGGTGTCAATAAATAAGGTGTTGCCCATATATTGGCTACACTTGTATTGGAAAGTGGTTCTTCTGTATGCCTGCTTCTTGTTCTTAAGGATCCCTTGGAAGGTGATGCCTTCACTGCTGTCCATAGGCGTACAAAAGGTGGCCAGCCCCACACCACTGAGATCAGGCTCTGATCAAAAGGGTTTTCTTTTGCTTGCTGTCGTTATTTGTCTTCCCCATGGTATTTAAACTGCAATAACTTGTGTACCTAGGAGGAATATGTGTGAAAATAAACTTCTGCTCTACATATGGGAGAATCAGAGCATATCTTGGTTTGGTTCTTTCTCACTAAAGCAGGCACTGAACTTCTGCCTGGCTCAAGATTTCTCTTCCTCTATTTTATGAGAATCAAGCTTTCTCTTTTAAGATACTCTTTGGCACCAAGTATAACTTTGCGCTTTGTAGATTGCCTAAGTTAGGGTCCCTTGGCAGTATGACAAGACCAGAAGATGTTTATAGCTGATGATAATTACTCTTCCTGCAGTAGAAATGCTTAGAAGCCCCACTAAATTTTCATGTCTTAATTGCAGAGGGTTTATTTGAAGGGGGGGGAGGAGGAGGAAAATCCCACAAGTCGCTTCTCTCTCCTTTTCCACCTTGCTCCTCAATGCAGGAAAAGAAGCTTGTTCAGTATGTGAGTGTTTCTGCATTTGGTCCCTGGTATAAGATCTTGTCTTTTCCTTTCTTCATTTGCTGAATAAAAACTTTCAAACTTCAACCAAAGCAAAACTTTTTCCATTTTGGCCGAAAAAGGAGCTATTGGTACACTGGGAAGTTTGATTAGGGGAAAGGAAAACCTGAGCAAACAAAACAGAAAGGCCTGCCTGCTTTAGTGTGAGTAATAGAGGGAAATAGGTATAAAAACCTATAGGATTCTCCCCACCCTTTTGGCTGCTAGGAAATCAGACAAGCATCTCTAGGAAAGAGGAAAAGGTTTGCATGATGCCTTTAAGAAGGCTTCCACCTGCCTTTTCTACCCCGGCAAAACCACAGCAAACACCGGTCCCGCTTCCACAGTGTTGTTATTACCCGATGCAAATGGGGTGAGCTCTGTGGCAGGGACTGGCTGCAGGAAGCACATGCAAATCAGTTAGCTCTTCAGACCAAAATGTTATCTTTTGGGGGTTTTATTCCCCAGATAGCCGGGAAAGAGTTAAAATCCCCATGGGAAGGGTAGGAGAGGTGAGGGGGGTGTCCTGTCCCTCTCAATTTGAATAGGTATTCTTCCTTCTCTCCCTGGTGTGGACTTTGACTCTTAAAGAGGGGATGAGCAAGCTAGTGTGAAGTTGACTATTCCCACCTTTTCTTTCAGCTGTCCCCGAAGGAGAAAGTGGCCCCGGGTGTGGTGGCGGCCATCACTTCAAGGGTAAATGACAAACCTATTGGCACTGATAAGGATGGGGGGAAGCATGCAGGAGCACTCTTCTTGCTCCTGGGCTGGGGACAGCGCTTTGGAGCGAGGCAGCTTCTTGGTGCTTTGCGAGGGCTGTGAGCACAGGTATGTGGGAGAAAGCAGGGTAAATATTGTGCACATAGGGATCAAACGTACCAAGGGAAACAAGCTGGGTTTGCAAAGGAGGAGAGGAGAAGAGAGACTTCACTACCCTCCCTAGAGCATCTTTCTGAGACCGGTACTCCATGCATGTGCTTCATAGAGCACCAAGCACTGGCCTGGCTGAGCCATCTTGAGGGACAAGGAAAGGATGTAGAAGGGAAGGCTGAGAGGGATCCATTGCCTCCACAGGTGTGAGCGCAGCATTAACCTGGGAGCCACACCAGCTGGCTTGGGAAGTCTATATAAAGCTTAGGGGAGAGGTCTGTGGGGTTGAGAGTGTTCTCAGTGCTTTAATGGCTCCTCATCCCTTGTTCAGGAGAAGAAGGTGGAAGAAGAGGAGAAGGAGAAGAAGGAATGTAAGAAGTGAGAGCAGAGCAGCAAATTGGGGAGGGGGGAGAGGGATACGAAGAGCAACAGGAGGGAAAGTGCATCCTCGGAGCTGATGAATATTCTAGTGACTGTATGTTGAGGAATCAGAAATTTGAAAGTCTGATGGTTTATTATAATTACACATTCATTTGTGCTGTTTAGTGGAAGCCACATGTGCCTGTTGCCTGGGACTGTGACCTGTTATTAAAATCAGTTGTGCCTCCTTTTGCAGAGATCAAGATGAGCGGTGATGCAGCAGATTCCACAGATACTCGGCATGAACCTGACCAGGTGGAGCCAGGTAAGGAGGGTCTGGGATGTGGGGAGCAAGCAAGGAGGGAGGGGAAAGCAAAGAAATGGGGGGCATGGGTGCTGGAAGTTTCTGCCTGTGCTTTGCTTGACTCCTGTTGCTGGTACATTGAGCTCTTCCAACCAGCCTGGGAGTTGATCAAGAATGTGCTCTGGGCTAGGATTGCGTTTGTATCTTGATCAGCATGCAAGAGCCTTCTGTAGCAGCACTGAATCAGTTTGTGCCTCAGTAATGTCCTCTGTGATTTTAGCATGGAAATATGCTTATGGCTTGGCAAAGGAATAATGCTATTGAAATAGTCTTGGTCCACTCTGTTTGGCACAAACACCTCTTCGTCTTACCCAGGGTTCATATCAGGAATGCTTCTGTAGACAAAACTCCCTGGGGACTAAGCCTTTTTTGGCCACATGTATGTAGAAAAATGGGAGGGATTTGGGGAATATTCAAATCCAGCCAGGTAGTTCCAGCAAAAATTTATTGCTCTTCACCTTGAAGCATGATTGGGTTTCTCATCTTCATTGCTCCCACCCGATGGCTGCTCAGACTCTCACTGCTCCCAGGCTGGAAACCCCAGTTTTCCTTGCATATGTAAAGCTGAGGAACAGGGTGATCCTTTGAAGATGATAGTGCTGGTGTTAGCACTGATTTCTGCCAGGTTACCAGCCAGCTTCTGCATTGCCACAAGGTGTGATACACACCAGGAAAATCAGTTCTGTCTTTTCTGGCATCACTTCTGACTGCCTCCACCTGTAATCTGTGAAATTACAGGAATATAATTTCACAGAGGCTCATGGTCAGATTCCTTTTTAGGCAAATAAACAGCAGTAAGAAGTATTTTTAGCACCCACTTGGTGTAAGAAATTAAGATTATTAGAAACCTTGTGGTTTATTATAGGCTTGGAAATAAACACCTTCAACACCAAAGCTGGTAGAGATAATGTAGAAGGATCATTGTTCTTTGAGTAATGAAGAGCCCTAAACCTGGGGGGGGGGGTGTGGATGTGTAACAGCAGATTAACATGGAATGATTTTTACTGTTTCTCTTCTGTCATTTGAGATTACTTATAAATAAAGAGACCCTGATAAAGGCAGGGAGCTCCAGGAATGTTTTAATGAGGCTAAAACTGCCCCTTTATTTACACCTTACACTGAGGACTAGAAACCCTCTGTGCTCTTAGCTATTAAGCTGTTATTTGACATAATCTAAGGTAGAGATGGGACCTGGTTCTATTCACGGCCATGAGCTCTGACTGACTCTGGTCCGGTCAGCTTTTGTTCAGGGCTTTCAATGACTCCAAACCGTCTCTTGAAGGAGACTGTTTCCGAGCCACTTAGCAACAAATATGTCCCCAACATCCCGAGCTCTTTAAAACAAATCCTGAAGTTGATGTCTTTCCTGCGTCTTGGCATGCAGAATTAATGGATAGCAAAGCTGAGTTAAGATTAGGGAAAGCTTCCTCGAGAGACGCATCAATGCAGTGGGAGACTCTGGCTGCTGATGTTGCAGTCAATAGTGTTAAATAGGTGAGAAGCTGGCACCCTGGTTGATTGGATAATGTGTTTTTCAGCTTAAGCTTCCCAGAGAGCCATTAGTGTTAGCTGTAGCACCTCTTTCGGGTGGTAACCGAGAAAAGAAAGCAGAGAAGTTGAAGTCAATTTGTTTTAAAATAACAAAAACGTTTGCAGCAGCATTCGCTCTGCTCCAGGAGCCCTCAAATCAAGCAGGGAAATCAGAGCAAGTCAATCGCCTTCATTTGCACAAGAGCCACACTTCCCTGCGGACTGCTACAAGGAACCTGCTTAAATTACTTTGCCTGTGAGTGGTTGATCCGTTTGGGATCTCCGGAGATCACCACAAGAGCTTTGGCTATGATGAGAAACTCTACAGGCAGTTACGAGCTGCTTATAGGGGTCTTTAGCAACCAGCACAAGCGCTCCTGTCCCACAGCAACTCGGGATGCTCGGGGCAGGACCACAAGCTCTTGCTCAGCAGTCGATGCGCTGTAACCTGGCACATCAGCCCCACTGGCAATCCCCACCAGCCAAGCGCACGGAGGGTCGGCTTCCTGCTTTACCTAAAGCCTCTGCGCATCATCGTCAGGCTTCGTTTTTTTCTCTCCTCTTCCCGACCATTCTGTTTATAAACAACAGAGCCCTTTGTACTGCACTTCCCTGGAAGTTTTTATTTGCCCTTATCCACGTCGGTAGAGGAATATTTACTGCAACACCTCCTAGTTCAGCGCTTTGTTTACTAGCTTCATGTGGGAAAATCTCTTTCCCAATGACTCCTTAATTGAAGACCCGTTTCCTGATGCACTGGCCCAATCCACACAGCTTCCCCGGGACTCTTGTTACCCCCAAAGGAGAGGGCAGTTTACCAACCTAACAATAACAGAGCTTATAAAGAATGGAAATCCTTCGAGGTGCATATTTACAAGGGCCTTTCATCACTAAAAGATGCAGACTGGCTCCAAGAAGAATTAAAAAAGTACTGAAGGGAGCTGGGTGCCAAAATGCTTTTGTAAACCCAGCCCTTGATCTAAACCTGATGCCTGAAGATCTGATGGGAAGTGTCAGTAGTCAAAAGCATAATCTCATCCTTTCATATCTCCGCCAGTTCTAGGCTTGGGGAGGGGGGGGGGAAGGGTAATTTGGGGCATTGTTTTACTTTGAAAGTGTTTAAAATAATAGCGGGGGGTGTTCTTTTTTAGAGAAAATTGGCAAAACGGTTCATCTTTCACAGGGGGTTAGGAAAGTTAAGGGTTTTTTTTTTCTTTCCATCCACACCAATTCCACAGGAAAGGCTTCAAAGTTGTTCTATTTAATAAGATGCTCTCCAAACCCCTGTCTTTGCTTGATTTCACCCACCCCTCCATGTCTACTGGTTACAGTGAAATTTTGCCATTTCACAGAAAACAGAGTGAAAAAATATATATATATAAACCTAAGGCATATCACATACCCTAAACAGTCCTGTAAATCAACTCTTCTTTGGTGTTAACTCTGCCTTTGTTATCAAGGTACATGATAGGCATGAGCCCCTCCTGCATGGGATGTAGGTTCAACCGCCTTCCCCCATGGCCCAGGAGCTGTGTAGGTCGGCCCCGACGGGAGCACCGGGTCATCTCTGCTGTTTGAAGGTCCTTTTCACCCTGTCCTGTGTGGTGCCAACCCGGTTTAATGCTCGGCTGTGGCTGGGCTCACAGGCAGTTCCGCTGACTCCATGGGGGGTAATGACAAGCGTGAGTTTTCTACTTGGCTCGGAGCTCTTTTCATCTTTTTAAACTGATGAAAGCCCTGCCAGCGAGTTCTGGGTTGATTTTTTTTATGGGAACTGTGGGGGCTTGGCACTGCAGAGTGTCGCCCCTGGTCTTCCAGCCGAGAGGCAGAGATCTCCCCCTTCTTGTGGTTTATCTAAGCGCTCTCTATCTGATGCAACAAAATGCTGAGGTGGGACTTGCCTCTGTCTGTCTGTTTGTTTGTGTCAGACACTTGTTCCCCGTTTATCTGCTTGATCAAAACAGGTTACACCAAGCAAAGCTACTTCCCTTTGATTTCATCTGTTGAGGCTATGGGGGGGAAGCCAAAAGGGCGATAGGGAAGCTCTTCAAACACAACCATCGGTAACTGAATAGCTGCAGGCGCTCCGAACATCTTCTCTCCCCACCCTGTAACACGGGGAACTGGCCAGCCTGCCAGGAGCCCAGGGCGGGGTGCGATGGGCACCCCAGCACTTGGGGTGTGTATGTGTGGGTGCAATATAGGGCAGCCCCACAGCACTATTTCTGCCTTGGGAGCAGTCGCTATCACTCCTCGGGTTGGTGGTGCTTGGCTGACCCCATGGCTTTGCTCAGCTCTGGGATCCTGAAGAGCAGCAGCCAGGGAGAGGAGTGGGGTTTCCTGGGGAAGGCACATGGAGCCAGAAAGATGGGCTCTGGTGGCCATGGTAACGGGGTTATATAGCCCTCACACCTCTGGTAACCTATCTGAGTGCATTGGGAAGCAATAAGGCAGATGCCTTCTCTCTGACAGTAAGAAAGACCCTTTCCTTTAGATGCCCAGAAAATGAAAAGGGTAAGGAGCTATGCATCCTCTCCTATGGTATTGCAAAGTGTCCCTTTTGGACACGATGCATGTCATTCTTCTCACCCTGCATCCTCAACTTCAACTACCTTGTGCCTATAGAGGGATGTCAGCATCAGATACTTTATTCCTCTGCTGCTGCCAGACACCTAAGGTCCCATGGCAGTGGAGGAGAGAGCCCAAGGGCAGCTCTTAAACTGGACACCAGAGCTTCCTTCCAAACAAACCTCCTCCCAGTGCTCCGGTTTCTTTGTCCGTGCTTTTTGCATTAAATCCATACCAGGGCAGATGGAAAAGCAGAGACCATGTCTCAGTCTGTCTCTCTGCCGCAAACTTAATTAAGTCTATGTCTGTTCCTCGGCTCCAAAGTGAACGTCCTGACCTCTTCTCCCACCTCATTGCCTGGGTGTAAGCTCTGTGATGCAGGTGCTGCTCTTCCTAGGGATGGGTGCACAGCTCTGGGCAGAGCAGAGCCCTGTTCTGCCCTGGGAAGGCTGTTCATCGCATTCCAATTGCAGGTGTTGGGATAGGGTCTCTCTAAAGGCAATGGCTCACGCTGGGACAGGGTATGATGGCTCTGACGTCCGAGTCAACTTCCAACTCGGGCCAAAGGAAACATGCACAAGCGAGGGATGTCAGACTGAGCAATGCAATGGCTTGTGTGAGGTGAGCTGGTGGGTGCGCAGGGACACTCCTTGTCGCAGGCAAGCTTAAAGGCTGCAACAGCTTGAGCTTTTCTATTGCCTTTTGTTACTTCTTCATATGGGGCTGGGAGCACGTTGCCAGCCCTAAGCCTTTTGAGGAAACTTGGCCTTCCCTGGCCCCACACTGAGCCCAGTCCTTGGCTACGCCTTTGCTCTCCCTGGTGAAACTTCCCTCAAAGCCTCCAGGATTTCTCTTGTCTCTTC